AATAATTAGCGATGGCCTCCAACCTAAGAGCGATGGCCTCCAACCTAAGAGCGATGGCCTCCAACCTACTAGCAATCGCCTCCAACCTAAGAGCGATGGCCATACAAAGATGGCAAAGTAGAGATACCGTGAATTGATCCGCCGTGATCCGTTACATTAATTCCGCAGCAGCAGTTGCAAGCTGGATCGCTGCGAAGCAAGCCTATTGAATGTTTGAACAAGTGGCCTTCCAAGTTGATCGACCCATTACAGCATTACAAGGAGTATGCGCACAAGGGTTGTAGATGTGCTAGAATCACAGAGTTGAAAGGAAGACATGAAGAAAGAAAGGTCTAGAGTCTACAGTCTAAAGAATACCTATAACATCCTATAACTATCTATGACTAAATAAGACTGCGTATGACGTTTTATTGGGCAGGATTCTGAGGCCTTTGCCACGATCGATGGCAGACAATATGTTCCTTGGAGTGCTCAATAGCCGTGAGAAGGTGCTTTTGTTGGTTCGTCCTTTTCTAGAGGCATTTGTTGACACTAGTGTTGGTGTTTCATCTTGTAGAATGGGAAAGCCGGAGCTGCTGATTTGAGTTGCTGCTTGAAGCAGTACGGTACATGCCACATGCACCTGGTGAATCCAAGGTAGCGGAGATCAGTCCCTTAGGGGAATGGATGCATGACTACAAGGGTGGCGAGACCAACAGCAGGATGCAGCTGAGGCAGTTGGGAGCTCGACTTTTCCAAGAAAAAGATTTGCTTCGAGAGCAGCCTCAAATTGTCCGCGGACGAGCGCAATAAAAAGTGACGTAGTGTGAGCAGATGCATTATATAAGCCTCAAGCACCTTTTGATTGGTGTGTTCAAAGGTGGTGACAGAGCCTCTAGACTATCCTTTCGCAATCCAGGCCCTTTCACATTTTGCATGGCAACAGAAGATGGAGGACCACACGCTTTTGGCCACCACGTTGGTTCAGGAATGTTTAGGGTTTAGGGTTAGCCAGTTAGCCATGCTTCTTCATTTGCAGGTACTGCAAAATTCGTCTTCGCTCTACGGCCTTTGCTGAGCCTTTGGAGGGCTATGCCTTGAATGAGCGTTGTTTCGGGGTCTTGGGGTGACCGAAAAGGTGACCGAACTGGTGACCGGGTGACCACGGTGACCAGAAAGGCATAAGTGCATGCCGCATGTAAAACTGATCAGCAGCAACTCAGCAGCCAATTCTCGTATGGATTCAGTTTGCGAATGTTTGCGAGGTGGGTGCTGGCTGCAGAAATCACTCCAGAGTCTCCAGAGGCTCCTTCCGAATTGGTTGGGCACTTCGGACGCATCGAATTACAGTCGAAAAGAATCACTGTGAATGAATGGTATGTGTTTCGCAGTGTCAGAAGATACAACCTTCCCTGGATGTGTTTTGCATCTTAAGTTGAGCTTTGTTCGGCACAAATGTAAATCCACCATATTTCCCAACATCCACATCGAGGGATGATTAGGCCATTGGGCTCACAGTTATTGTTTGCCCGAAATGAAAGGCATGCACAATTCGCAACACCTTCATTGACAGCGCTCATGTAGGGTAAGCCATCCCTGAGGCCCGTTGTCCCCAAGTTGCATGGGTATGGACTGAACGCACTAGCAGTCACTAGCACAATCAACGCGTGACATGTTCGGCTTGCCACTTAGTCAGGGTCTCCTGTGGCCACGGTAGCATTCAGAGGATAGCTGCCAAGTTTGGAGGCCTATCACTTCTACCTGTCCTTGCCAGCGGGGTTTGGAGCTGAAATAGTTCAAGCTTCTCAAGTGGCAACTGTGGACCAGTCATTGTTCGGTTGCTGTGAGAAGTGGGTGCTTTCAATATAGCGGCTATAGTGCCATGTGTTATGGTGAGGGTTATGCTCGGTTGGACACCCTTCGGCTGCGCACCGTAATCTGGCGACGCTACTAAGGTATGCTCCTAAGAATTTCATTCTACAGATGTGGTTTATTTTTAGGCATTCTAACCGCAGTATTCTGCCACCTTTTCTGGCATATATTCTGGCATCCTATGTGGCATTCTACATGGCATATTTTCGGACATCATTTTCGGCATTTTGTTTGTCACATCTTCTGGCATTCTGTTTGGCACACCTTCCGGATGTCTAATGGGTATATCTTCTGGCATTCTACCTGGCCTATCTTCTGATATCGTTTGACATCCTTTTCGTTCTGGCATTTCCATATTGCACATTTTCTGGCATTCTCGATGGCGTGCGGGTCCGTGTGTGCCCAGCCTGAAGTGGTTCTCTATATGGTGCGCAGGTCCATGCATGCCGAGACTGAGCTCTCGCTGTGACATGAGGACATGGCAGGAGGAGAGGCAAGGACAACGGAAGAAGGAAAATCCTGTCTTAAAATCTCAAAGCCCTTACCTGGCAGGTGGGGAATTACTGTGGATAGTCAGAACCTTTCAGACAACCTCGCCACTGAATAGTGGCAATTCCTTGGCCAACCCTGCTGGAAAGAATTGCGCGATATGACTGGCTAATGAGCTGCTGGAATTGTCAAAGCAAGGGCGCCCCTTGAGGTTGAGAGTCCACAAACTCCACAAACGCAGTTGCACATGCCCAATTACATCCCGCACTTAAAGTTCTGCCAGTTTCTAAAGCATGCAAGTTTTGGCCGTTGCTGAGGATGGAGGTGGAGATATTCTGAGGGTGTTCATTTTTTTTGGCCCTTTCCTTCCCTGTGCTTCTGGACGCACTGGTCTCACTGCGTTTGCAATTGTTCAAAACGGCAGTTGCTACGAGAGCAGCATGCTCTTGACTCTTGATCCGAAAAGAGATGCATTGGGTCGCGGCGGAGATTGCCAATTTCTGCAAGCTGAATGCTGATTGCCATTGCACGAATTGTCCTGAGGTTTTGGTGTTTAGACACGTGAAACCGAGCGAGGCAAAGCAGTTGCCCTTTACAGAATGGTGCAGCGACACCACATTGATGGAGGGAGTTGGACACCACATCACCACAGACCATCATTTTGGCCACTTTTCGTCCAATAAGACCAGACCACCCTGCTGCAAAACCTTGCGCCCTTTGACTGAAAGCTGGTCCGCCCCCGGATGCATCTGGCGTTTTGTTCCTCGTTGGTGCCATGCCGCGGGCAGAAGTGCCTCCTGAGGACGAATGGTCGCAGGCCCTAAATGGAAATTTGAGTTTCAAAGGCAACATGATGAATGATGGTTCCATTTCTTGGACGCATGTTGCATTTGTATGCATTCTTGCCCTCAACGTGGGCAAGCCAGTGGTTGGCAGACAGCAAGAGGGTTGTGTTGCCCAGACATGTAGTGTAGCTGGTCGCTTTTTTTTGATGCTTTTTGATGGCCACATGTTGGTCCCAACGCATTTGATTCAAACATGGTCAGTCAGGTGACTAAGCACACTGGACATGCAGCATTGCATACACTTTGTGAGGAAGCCGCAGAAACCTTCTGGTGGGGCAATTGGAGAGTGTCTGGGACGTGTTGAGGGCCTTTGAATCCCTCTTGAACTAAACCCCAGCATTTCATGTGGCATTCAAACTGTTTGGTGGGGTATGTGTGTGTGTGCCCTCCTGTTTGCCCACACCAAGGATCCCAAGAACTGCTTGTACCCTTGGCTGTATGAGGATGGCATACCTCGCCGGTCGCTGAGCCACAAGGAACATGTTTGGCAGAAGGCTTCATTGTAGAAGCTGTGCAATATTACGAAAGCCAGCCGATAGGCTAGGCTTGAGCTCTTGGAGCGAACGAAGTGAGTTAAGGGGGTGTGGGGGGGGCCGCGAAATCGCACCATTTGAGAGGGTGAACCCGGAGCTTGGTGGGGGAGAGCGCTCCAAAGCGAGGGTCAGAAAAGCAGTGAAAATGTGGTCTGGTGATGCGAGTGATGCAATGGACGCCGAGTGGTGCATCATTAGCATCACGAAGGGCTGCGAGGCAATTTGGACAATGGGCATTGAGCACTGGAGTGGAAACATGCACCCATGTACAGAGCAACCATCCTAGTCTCTACTATACTTGCACCGTTTCCTCAGTCGAGCGGATGCTTCTCGCGGCGTCCACGTGAAAGAACGTTGTTCCGGCTTTAGATACAGAATAGATAGATAGATCGATAGATCGTAGATAGATAGATAGATAGATAGAGAGCTGGTTTGATTGATAGATAGTGGAAGAAGCAGGGCAGTCTTGGCCGAAACCGTGTCCCAGAGTGGCTGGTGCAGGAGTTTATCCACCAACCCTGCAAGTCCCATACTGACATGTAAAACGCTTGGTTCAATAATGGCTGTGCAGTAACGGCTGTGCGGCTATGTTCACAGTGGTGGCTCGACTTTTCGGGTCAATACAGTCAACGCACGGTTTGGCCATTGGCTGTTGTGGAACCATGTAGCCGTTTCGAGCTTCGGAATCCTCGTTGTGCGCACTTGCGCAGGCAGCAAGATGGTTCTGGGAACTCCCTGGGAACGGTGAGACACGTCAGCGTGCACGCAAAAAGGTATGAGGCTAGTTGGCTACGAACCTAACGCATGCGCACCAAAACCTTGGACATCCTGCACCCCATCGCTTGAGTCAAGCTCCAAAAGCAAGGATATCGACATGTCCTGGCCAAGCATGCGCGACCGGGCAATTTACAGTCGTTGTTGGACTTCAATTGAAGAAGCTATATAGATGGTATTGACATGCACTGACTGGACCGGCAAAGCAGGTAAAACATACCCTAGTCTATATAGTGGTTGGAGGCTTTGTGAGCGAACGAAGTGAGCACTTTTCTTGCGCCGGACGGGCTGCTGGGAACGGTGAGACACGTCAGCCTTGGACATCCTGCACCCCATCGCTTGAGTCAAGCTCTCGAGGTTATAGCCACGGATCTATGCAATATTTTTGGATGACGGTTCGTGACGCCAATGCTGAGGCATATATAGTTCCTGCCATCCTCCTAGTCATCCTTCTGGTTGGATGTGTTGGTGCTAGTATGGTAGTTGGTTGGCAGCGACAAGTTGCTATCAGAAAAGGACCCCGTGTAGATAGCAACTTCTCTGTGTTTTCTGACTCTATGTCTCTATGGTTCTGTGTCTCTATGTCTGTGGGGCGAGAGGTGTAGCCGCGACTTATGGTTATTTTTTGGGCTGATCAGTGGCATAAGCGCAAGTAAAGTCCCCAACAGCACGAAGCGCCACAGAGAAAGTCTCTTCGCTGTCCAAGCCCTCCTCTGGAGCCTTGTCTGCTTTGGAACCTGCTCCGGAACCTTCTCCAGAACCTCCTCATGGACCTGCCCCGCAACCTTCTCCCGAACCTTCTCTGCAACCTGCCCCGGAATCTTCTCGGAACCTGCTCCGAAGCTCGCTCTGAGTCTGCTCCGAAGTCTTTCCTATGGCAGAAGACCCCTACGCTTCGCTGTTGGGGAATGATGATTGCTTCAAAATGGAACTGCTTGGATGTATTGGGGCCAGTATGGTAGTTGGTTGGCAGCGACGAGTGCCTATCAGAAAAGGGGCCCGTGTAGATAGCAACTTGGTGGGGTGAAGAGATTGCTGTTTGAGGATGGGTTGTAGTCACGGATCTATGCAATATTTTTGGATGACGGTTGGTGACACCAATCAATGCTGAGGCATATAGTTCCTGCCATCCTCCTAGTCATCCTTTCAGAGAAGTCTGCTTGGATGTCTTGGGGCAAGTACGCTAGTTGGTTGGCAGCGACAAGTTGCTATTAGAAACGGAGCCTGTGTAGATAGTTCTCTGTCTTTTATGTCTCTGTGTTTTATGACTCTATGTCTCTATGGTTCTGTGTCCCTATGTCTCTGGGACGAGAGGTGTAGCCGCGACTTATGGTTATTTGGGCGGATCAGTGGCAAGCCCAAGTAAAGTCCCCCAACAGCACTGACATTTCTTTTTTCCCGGATTCTCAAATAGACCACCAAACAGGGACGCTCCAGAGAGCACCGCGCCAGGAAAATCGAGAAAGCCCAAAACATTCAACACTTCATGCTGTGCCCCGATCTTGATCTACCCCACGTTGATACAAGCTCCACGAAAGCTACAGGCATTCAACAACAAGTGCTCCGCTATTTTTTCTTCCCGGTCTTGCATTACCATATTGGTCTCTCGCTGGCTTT